TGACTTCTTTATCGTGCACTTAACTTTTATTATTCCTGTCATCAACATTGAGATAGGAAAGGTGGTCAACTCTAGCAAACCTTATCATTTGATCAGGCCAAAAACGAGGTGAAATAAGACGAGTGATCATAACTTAAAATTTCTCCAAAATTCTCTCATATTCATTCATTTTTCATTGTCTTGTAGTAGCACATGTGCACAGAATCGAAGCGTTACTTAGAGAAAGTAACATATTTTACCGTGATTCAGATAAGCTGCTCCATCGAGTCAAAAATTCTTTGTTTATTTTGGGTTGCTATAAAAGAAAACTTTGTTTTCTGTTCTAATTGCCCTAAGATAAGCCCGTAGTTTTAGAGATAAACTCAAGTAGCCTGTAAACGTCCAGATAATGCGCCAGCTTTGTGAATTAAAAAAAATATCAAACTTATTTTTCTACGCACCTAATTTAATTGTGATCCCCTTTTCAACGACTTGAGCTGAGATCATCTAGTCAGGCATGTTAACGGGATCCCAAATTATGTTGCCCAATCAATTACAGGGATGTTGGTTTTTACGAGTGCAAGATGACGGTTCTGTAAATGTGATTGGTTGTTTGGGAGGGTAGTAGGATTATTTCTACAAAACATTGTTAACTGTACTAATTCAATGCAGATCCGGTGAGAAATAAATAACAATTGTGCTACAATTTCACCTTTCACGCCTTGCTTCTGATACACGTTAACCAAATTGAAAGAAATCCTCAAATTTAATGATACTTTCAAAGACATCGCGTCCTCATTAATGGCCGCAAAAATATTGTCCATCTGAATACTCTGTGTTTTTGTCCAGCACTTCTGTTCTAGAACAACACACACACACACTCACATCTGTTTTAACTACAAAAAACCCAATTTTAATATCAAATGTGCATCCCAATGGTTCGACTAACGCTTTTAAACTGTCTGCGTTTTATGAGATCGCGATTAGAGAGGTTCGGTCGCACAGTTTGCGGCATCACTAAAGTCATTTGAACTGACAAAAATGCTTAGCCAAACAGTCCACGCAAAGCGAGGTCCCAAAGGTGGAATTCGCGGCCGCCGCGTCTCCCTCTTGACAATTTCATGGGTACTTTTGCAGGCAATCCAACGCACCAGGTCCATTGCCAGCTGACAAGATGGCAAAAGGATGCTAGATGTTAGGCGATTGCATAGAGAACAATTAAATACCGCGTCGTTCCAATCTGATATTTTCCCATGGGTTCAAATTCTGATCCGAAATCTCGAGTCACCAGTCTGGAACTTATCCACGCCGACATCTAGTTTTAATGCACTTAAATGAGTTTGTGAAATAGCTGTGGTTCTTGCTTGTTAGTGGAACAAGAACTAAAAGGAGCCGGTGGTGGGCTGTGCGTTTGATAATATGCCTGTAACAATCACTCCTTCACAATTATCCCCTGCTTCAATGCAAAGAAACACATCAAGAGTGTAAACTATGTGTGTAGCAAGAAGTCACGCTGCTACAAGGCCTGTAATCGATAGCAACGCCACGTTGGTGTCCAAAAAATATTCTGATCAAGACTAGTTCCCCTTCCGACGACTTTATTGGATGTCAGAAGGTTAAAAAGAGCCTCAATTAACTGTGGTTGGCTGCAGTTAGAAGCCATGCGTTGTTAAACCAGGTCAATCTGACTTTCATGCCGCAACCTCACGAGCTCAACCGTTCAGCTAGGAGGATTAGAGTAATTTCCTAGGGGGAGTAGTTCCTCTGAAAGGATTCTTTGGCCCTTTTTAACTCATTTTCCTGTATCCCAACAGTCATCTCATGTCTCACCAACAATCCTAAGCCCAGATACCTTATTTAGCGCCATATTTTGGAGTAGCGAGGGCATTTTTACATAACTTACAAATATAATACACACACGGTTGTGAGTTGCAAGTAACTAGTTCTTCTCACAGGGGTAAATTATCCTTTGATTGAAAAGAAGCGTCATTTGGCTCTTAAATGAATACAAGTAATTCAACAACAAAAAGCTGTTTATTTAAAAGCTGCCAACAATACTAGTTCCCTTTTTAAACTCCGACAATGGCAACAATGGGCATTTTTTAGATTGTCATAAACACAATCACTTACCACTCAAGTCACCTCCCACACCGAGTTTGCTTTTTGCAGCAGAGGAGACAATAGGGCCCACACACCGCCCGTCTTCTCTCATTACCTCCTGACAACAGAAGCTGTGAATCTTCCGTTTTAATTTGTATTTTTCAAATTCTGGGTAATCAGCACAACTGACTGACGTCTTAGGGTTGTGGTTGCGTAAACTTAGCCATCAGCAAACTCCTCTCGCAAATGAAACCTAGAGTACTACATGGTGCCTTTTAAATACATCAGTAGTATCTGCCAGCCCAGAAGAAGGCGTGTTCATATGAGGGCGTCATGGAATGGAGTGATGTCTGTAAATGTACCTGCCCACTTTACCCCGTCACGCAAGCCTGAGTTTTTGGTGCCCACTGACTTTCGGGTAATTTGTAAAGCCACTCAAGATTTTTTAGCCCCGAGTTCTCCGTCTTGTGAACCACTTCGGGCCTTCGTGTAGCTCGGGAGAAGAATCCAGTTAAACGTCCGTATAACCTGCTGACGCCTTGCCCCGTAAAGATTTCCCCATATGAGTCAACGATAGCGATTTTCTAAAATGCGTTTGAAATTTCCCTTAGTTTTTAAAGCCAATCACGAGAATTCCATCAAAGTGACTACTATATGAGACCTTAAAAATGAAGCTAGTTTTGGTAGTGACATATTGGGTCTGATGATGGAAGTAAGAAGCTCATCTTTTGACGCTAACACAAAAGGCGATTTTGAAGTGCCGAACTTTGTAGTCCTGAATTTCCGACTCGAGTAAAATTGGTTTGCTGTGATTGGATCCTAATAATCCAATGAAAGAAAAACTGAGTTGAATGTGCAACCTTTAAAATCTAATCATCACGAATATGTTAAAAATTGAGAGAGAAATCTAGTCATGCAAGCGTTCATGCTGTTTTTTAGCATAAAAATACAACTTTTCCCGCTTGCTGAACTACACAAATCCCGCGCCATATTTGTAGATTTGAACATAGAGCTGCTATAGGTTGTTTATTGCTCTTTCTACAATGGACATTTTGTTGGACATTGTCGCAGTGCGTTAATGTTTTAATCATTGTGGAAGCAATTACTCACGTAGACTAGACAATAATGACGTAAGATACCATCTTTAAAAATGAATTGCTTGAAATTTTCAAATCGTTATTCAACATTCAAGCGACCATTTGACTAGACGAGATGCATTTACGTAGGCGTAATATAATTATCCGCCCAGCTTTGTCCTTTAATTATCGGTTTTTTTAGATTTAAAACAGTTTCTAAGACTTGATTCCAGATTGATTGAAAATCGCGCGTGCATGTGATTGGTTGATCGTGAGATTGACATAGCACAGGGCATGACCATGCTCAAACGTTACATATCAGCAAGTGTTTCAACTGCGTGCTTATTTCTACATGCATGGATGCCAAATTATGCCTCCCACGATTTTAGTTTTAATAGACATTAACCAATCCAATTTTGTGATTGCACACTTCAGTAAACCCTTCAAGAGGCAGAATGCTAAGAAACTTGACTTGGGTGGCCTGTAATTATCTAGCAAATTAGTCACCGTTTTAACTATCTTTTGCTGACATTTAAGTAAGACTACGTAGCTGCCGAGTTTAGCACTACCAAACAACTCGCTAGTTAATAGCCGGTCACAGCCCGAGAAGAGGCAAAACAAGAGTCGACAAATCAAGTGTAGTCAAGTTACCCATTTTTGTTTGCGATCAATACGCGGGGTCGTAACAGGCGACTGCTAACAAAAAATCAATAACAAAGAGGGTGAGTCATTGATACAGTCGGGCAAGCGCACACGCAGCACTCACGCGCGGTGGCTGTCTGTCCACTGCAGTGCATTCACGAAAAAAAAATCGATTGATTTATGTTCGCTCAAGCTTGCAAACTGCGCTCGCTCACGAATGCTGACTGTGCTGGCTAGCTGCTCGCCACAGCCATTTAAAGCTCCGGAATCTGGACTGCACCGTAGTTGAACCTCCAAGAATCTTGTTTTTTGTTTACTAGTGCTGTCAACACTCTGCGTATCGCGTCGAACCTAGAGCTGACACCGCAGTGGCTGCTATTTCGGAATGTGCTCTGTGCCTCGCTTGTCTAACATGCCCTAATTAGAGGTTGCCAGGAGATAATGGTCTTCGTGCTTACCATACGCCTAGTTTCAGAAGGGGTTCTCAAAAGAAAACTATGTCCTCACATTGGCTGAACTGTCAACGCGTCCAACACAACTGACAATTTGAAGCGCCCGCTTGGGGTGCTAGTGATTGGAAGTCTTGCTTGACAAGATGTGGATGAAAATTGAGCTTCTCGGAGCATTAGCGTGCGCTGTCGTTTACAATTATGTCCCATCAATATCTAGTTACGCATGCGTCCATTCACCGCATCCTTAGGTTATTGCCGCTAACTTACCAACAGTAAATTACGCTCCGCTATGGGTATTTTGCAAGTTAATTTTTAAAAAATTACACAGTAATTTGCTCATGTTAACGGTAGTAATTTGAGTAGGGTTGCGTTGACTGGGGATATTGAGTTCCCGCCAAGATGAAGACCGGAGAGGACGAGACGTTTACTAGGCAGCCGCACGCAGTTGTGTTGTGTTGGCTGAAACAGTTGAGTGGACCAATACAAATACAGACGTCTGAATGGTCACATGACTAGGGCGGGTGGTGGTGGTGGTAGTGAGCAGGCTGTCCCAGTGACTGACGGGCAGACCGTGGAAAGGGGGTCGTGTGTGCGAGGCTGAGACGAACGGGTTATTGGATGTGAATCCGCACGATTCACTATAGGCGTATCCACTACTGCTCGTTTAAATTATTGCGATTTTTCAGTAGATTTTGGCCATGTGTGTTGGGTCGATGCCAAAGAGTTCTGTTGCAGCTCTGCTACTTCACCTATGTACTCAGGAAGGTTAAGAAAGTTTGGGACACCGGAGATGCAACCATTTATTAGTGGCCTCAACCCAGCTGAATTGTATGCAGCATTCAAGGTCGCGGATATCAGCTCAAACTACTGTGTTCTTAAACGTGGCAGCATAGCCAATGAGAAAGCTGACATGCGGATTATCGAAAAGGGGCGGCTTGTCAAAGTGAACCGGCAGATTCGGTGCGACTAAACTCATTGGCTCTGTTAGACCTCACGTTTCAGTGGAAACTTTTGGGGATATTTGATATAGCCAAGAGCATCCAAAGTGCTATTCTACGTGTTTTTGACTGGAGGTGTTCACGGTGAAGTCCTGGTGGTAATCATCCGTCCATTGATGCTTAGTCGTTAACCCTAGCCACTTCACCATCATCCAATCCCCGCTTGGTCCCTTCAATCAAATTTTGGTTTAGCAGCATGGCAACAAACGTCCGAACCAGCTTCCGTCTTATCGTGCTTAACTTTCAGTGATAATCAGGTGATAGGGTTGTTTACCTGCCTTGGCAGTTGGAACAACCAATAGGAAGTAACACGTAACCATGGCTTGTTTCCATCGCTAATGTCGGCTGCCAATTAAGCAAACCACACAACAGAACGAAATGCACTGGCCACTGAATTCGTTCCAAACGCCATCACGGTAATCTTCGGAATTTAACTCATGGGACTAAGAACGAGGGTTTGAGTGGGTGACGCAGAAGTAGGCCTTCCATTGGATGACGCAGCTTGTAGACCTGACCTGCCCAAGTTAATCGGCCTCTGGCTGGTGTTCTTGTCCTGGTAATTTCCCCCAGCAGACGAATAACATTAAAATTGAATTTTTTTACGCTGTGTATTAGTATGGCAGACAGTTACCATGGCGATGCTATTGTCTGTTTTTAAAGCTGAAACTTGTCAACATGCGCCAAATGCTTATTCATACGGCCAGGGATGATTGAAGTGAAGCGCGTTTTTGACTGGAAATACCAATTGACTGATTCACTCTCTCCACACCCCCTAGTGCTGTGGCTTCAGTAATAAGAGCTGAAATTCCACTTTCACCTCCTCGAATAAGCGAACTTGATTGGGCCGAAGTTTGAGCCCTCCCAACTGTGATTTAGGATTCGGACTCTACAAAACAGATGCGAATTCAAACAAGTAAACATGACCGATGTACCCCTTTACTAATCCTCTGGCGGCGTTCGGACAACTCCACGTCAGTCCGTGAGTGGTGAGTGTCCGTTGAAGTGTGTACACCTGGAGCCACACCAAGCGCCTATTCGATTTCGCTGGGCTGTCGGCGTTTACTTGGATTGATTTGGTCCACGTGGCCGCGTAGTTTTGTGTCCACCGCTGAATGAATTTAACCGGCGTTGATTGGCTTCCTGATTGAAAGTGTGCGAAAGCTCCCGCGTAGGTTACCAAGCTGTCAGAAGTTTGTTCAATTTTGGTCCTTTGAAATATGTTTTTATTCCCACAGCGTTATTTCCGCAGCTCCAGATAACTTTAGTCAGTGAGATCATTTCACTTCCACCTCCACACACCTAGTTCCCATGTTGATCGGCGTGTTTTGCGTGGGTGAAGGGTTTGAGCACAGGAAGGAAGGAAGGCGGCCGAATTGGCACGGCTCGATGCAGGCGGTGCGTAGGCGGTGGCAAAAAAGCCGGCCATCGCTGCTCGTCAGTAAAGCAGTCTCCTTCGATGCTGGAACTGATTAAATCAACAGAGGACACTCCGCACTTGGCTTGTAGTGGAATACCTTCCAGTGACTGTGGCAGCGGCAACTTGATAGGTTCTCCAGACTAATTCCTTCGATTCCACTGCCTTAGGCGTATTTCCAGTCTTTGCTTCTGATCCAACAAGTACCTGACTTGAGTTTTTAAAAAAAAAATTGGAAAACGTAATCACTCTTAGCTTATTTCTTCTTGTCCTAAAAATCGCCTGAATCTTCGTTTGTTTAGGGTACACATTTCGCCAAGTATTCTAGCTCGATTCCACGACGTAGTCTTTGTTGTGAGAGTATTCTGGGGTGGCTGATATTCACACCAAATGCCTTCCAACTCAATCCGAATAATCGCGAGATACTTCACTCGTTGCCTGACAGTCTAAAGGGTGTTTGGGCATCTCCAAACCACGATTTGGCACTAGCGAAATAAAAACCAGCATGACAATGGGGTGGTGTGCAGCTAACTGAAGCTAAATCAGCTTTTATTTTCCTCCTGGTCCTACCACAACCCATTATACTTCTCCTCACACGTTCTCTCACCGCATTGTTCCCAGGATAGCGTTTTTTTTTATTGTAGCGCCCTAATGCAAGTTCTTTTTTTAAATTAAAAGCTCGGTGTTTGGGTAAAGCGCATTCTCCCTCTGTTTGCTTTAATTATGGCACAAAAGTGTGTGTTTTGCGTTGAAGCTGTTTTTACCCTCACCTTGTGATAGGGAGTTTGGGGTATTAGCTCTGATGTTAACCAAACTATTCGACGTTGAAATTATGCACCTACTTAAAATTGTCAGTATAAATTATTTTTTGACGCTTGACCACCCATAAATTCAAATTATTCCTTGCCGGGAGTCTAGGCTTCGCATAAAGTGCTCTAGGACTGACTAGTAGCAAAAGGAATTTCTGGTCACTTTCTGGACTAAAAACTAAAAAAAATTCCCCTACCGAAAGTCCACATTCTAGATGCGTTTTGGGCCTGCTGTTGTGGCAAGATTAACCCGTCGTTTATTGGGAAACTAGACTTTACGAGTTGACGCTGTATGTCCACACATTCACAATCGTAACGAGCTAATAACAGTCAAACCGGCCAATGAAAATCAGTACGCGAGTTAGTTGCCGAATCCACTTCACTTAACGGGAATAATCTCGAAATATTTTCCTCCAATAGGATGGCTGGAGGCCGATTGATGTTATCAACCTGCATGTCCTGCCGAATATCGCAAGTGTTGTCTGTGAATTGGAGCTACATAGTTAGTTTCCTATAGGCGGTGTCAAGGATTCCTTCTGATTGGTTGGGGCGATCGATTTTCTGCTCAAACGCATTAGCGTTCAGGCCACTGTTTGGGTATCCTTGCAAGGCAATTACGAAACTAAGTGGAATTCGTAAGCGCCTAAGAACATGTCAAAGATGTAGTTGTCAGTGCTACTTCGATTGCATATTTATGTGGCAAAATACCAAGGTTATCGGAACTTGAAGAGAAATTTCCATCCATCTTGGACTTTTTTTCCATGTCAGTTCATTAAATAGTGTTTGCGAACAGACAAAAAATCCGAGACGCTACCCTTGAGATGATGCACAAGTTGTACGAGAAGCGCGTCACGTGATTTGATTCGCGTACTAGTTTCGTTTGCCCTCCGCACGTCAACAAAATTTGAGTGGCTGTTACGTGGCTCTCGCCGTCTAAATTTAGCTCCCTTTCGCTAAAGCATTCAGGCGTGCTATCCGCAGCTCGCCCACGCTTGCATTTCCGCAGTGGTGTTGATGCGACCAGAATAGCCTTTGATCAATAGCTTCTGCAGCGAGGCGAGGCGAGGCGAGGCGAGGCGAGGCGGTGTTGGTCTCACGCGCACGTGCCTGCCTTCGTCAAGCCTCAGCTCGTATCGATCGTCGCCTCCACGCACGCACGCACGCACGCACACACGCATGCACGAGGCGGCTGCTGGCGCGCTGATGCTCACGCTAATCAATGCGGCCGCGTACACAAGATGTGCGCGCGCGCGTGGGCGGCGCAGTAGCCGTTGGCAGGTCTACGCCCCCGACACGAATCCTACTCCCCCATTCCCTAAATGCATCGATTGCAAGCGAGCATGTGATTGGCTGGTGGGCAGTAAAGCAGAGGATTGCACGCTGCGTGTTTGCCCATCCTGAGGGGAAGGCGTGCTCACACGCACAGTGTGTGTTCGTTCGTGTTCGTGTTTGTGTACGTGTGCTTCCACCTCCTTCGTCTCCTTCTTCGTGTTGTCTTACCCGAGTTTGTCGTCCGTCGAACCTCCACGTTGCCTTTACGTCGTGATCACTCCACAGAAACGTCCAACTTCGTCGTTGTCTTCGTCGTGAATTGTTATGCTGCAAACTACTCAAAAGACCGCCTCTGTTGTCACTCCCGTGCATGCCAAAGACTCCGATGGCACTGTTACCAAACCGAACACTTCGGGGCAACACGCTGAAGATCTCAAGCCCGAGGTCTCGTCCCATGACATGGGGACCGAGGCCAGACCCACCAGAGAGTCGACTAGGAACTTTGACACCAAGACGGATAAATCCCAAGATGGTAGGCTACTGGTGGTGGGGGCTTCGCATGTTTTCGTCACTTAAATTCACGCAAACCACACATCTCCGTCTTACTAAGGCCCTTTTGGATAATTTCCCACTTTATGGAGTTGTCGATTAATTAAAAAGAAAGGTGTTTTTTGTGTTTTTGTGTTTAGAGGAACGAAAGTTGTTTGTGGGGATGCTGAGCAAACAGCAGAACGAGGATGACGTGCGACGGCTTTTTGAGCCGTTTGGGACAATTGAAGAGTGCACGATTTTGCGGGATCAAGCAGGCAACAGCAAAGGTACGTTCACCCCCTCCGTATTGATTTTTGCTTCCAACTCACTCCTTACACGATTAAACCGACTGTTGTTTTGTGAATTTGCTGGCTTCAGTTCAATTCCATTACATTTCTGCATAATTTAAGCAATGTAACCAGTAGGAAGGCTCCTTTAATGATTGGTTGTATCTAAAAACTCCCGATAATCGGATTCCATAGAGATTTGCTTCGCCTTGTGTTCACTTCCCCGTTGGCTCTGCCCCTGGGTTCGTAATGTGCAACCTGCTGGATTCCACAACCGCAACCTTTGTCTAAAAGCACGATGCCAGTGAGTAAACATTAACTCCAAATGCCCCCGATGTTCGGCCAGATGGGATAAACAATGTTTTGTTGTCCAAAAAAAGAGGCCTAACCACCCAGTCAACCGATGACTCGGCATCGGGCAACGGAAATGCCCTGATAACTTCTTTGCTCAACTTCTGCCAATTTGATTGGTTGCTCTCTGTTTATCGCTCCGTTGGTGATGCGTTCAAGCGTTGGTAAATAAAATAACAATTTAATATAGCATACTGGCGCATCTTGCAGCGTTACAGCGTTATTCCAGTCAATTATTTTCTATAAATGTTAGGGGGGGGGGTCCTAGAACCATTGAAAGTCATAATGACTAGGGCAGTATTAGGTATCCGCCTGTTACCACAACACCCCGCAATTTGAGAGGCAGGAGGGGTGTGTGTGTGGGTTGGCGTTGCTCCTCGTGGGTGTGACCAGGTCTCAGTGGCGGGCGCTGACTCCTCCTCTGGCCCTCCCACCCCCGTTCCCTCCCCTCTGTTTGTCAGTGCTCCAAGTAGGGCGCGCCATAGACCGCCTATTTGTGAAGCTTCGAAATTAGCTTGTTTTTAGTCATTACAACTAGTTTCCACGGTTAACCCTGTCACCTGTTCCCTTCACAAGGGATTTTTCCCAGCACACTTGGTTGTGACAGTGGTTGAGTGTCGTCACTTAACGACATCGTTTATAAATGGTTCTTCGGTAGGCGAGGAATCATTTTGACCACGTAAAACACCGAAACAACAGCCGGTTCTGCAGTAACAATGTGTTTTTCTCTAGAGAACTGGCCCCTTTTTTCAGCTTCACGGTGACGAAACTGGCGCAACTTGGCAATTATTCGAAAGCTAATTTTGTGCGTATTTCTTTTTAGGCTGCGCTTTCGTGAAATTCTCCAGTCAAACCGAGGCCCAGTCCGCCATCGTCGCTTTGCACGGAAGTCAAACCATGGCTGTACGTTGGTTCCCTTCCCTTGTGGGCATTCCTCTCTTCATTCCACACCACCACAAGTCGCTTCTAGTCATGAACTCGTAGATATCGCGTTTCCTACTTTTCTTGGGTCAACAACTGGAGCAGTTGACATGAGTGGTTAGCACACACAGCGTTGGGCTTTTGGACTCGGAGTGCGTTTACTGGTGGAGCAGGCTTTTGAGGTGGTGGCTGGGAGGACAAAGTAGTGAATCTTTGATGTTCTGGGTTGCATCCAAACGATTGTGGAGCCGAACGCAGTTGCCGGTGTAGATAAAAACTGTGCATTTCACTCAGATTCAGAGTTGGCGGGCAAAGGAGATGTTGTATCAAAGGCTAGGCTAAGCCAAGTCCGTGTCACCTTCATCCCCGGCGTAAACACAGTCTCTTGGGGGGGAAAATTGAAGTTTCTTGAATGGCTCAAAGTTCTCACTAGACGAATTCTTGTTCTTGTAATGCTGCAATGCTCTTCTTTGTGCAGGGCGCGTCGTCGAGCATAGTGGTGAAGTTTGCCGACACCGAGAAGGAGCGACACTCAAGGAAGCTGCAGCAGCTGATCGGTCCTCTGGGGGTGTTCAATCCGGCACTGGCGCTCTCCCAACTGGGAAACACCGCCTACACACAAATCCTAGAGGTAAAACCTTCTTGTTGCCCTGCTCCCACCCAGCCTCAGCAACTCTGTCCTTCTTTTCCTCAAACCAGCCAATCAGGAAGCATCTTGATAACAGTTTGGGATTTTCCATGCATTAGATGGATATGAATTCATATCAAGCCCTTTTGCTTTAAAATTAAACAAAATGCACAGGGCATTTGATTTCGTGCTGTTCATCGCCACCTGAACTTCATATATTCAGGGTCACCGCAGATTAATTAGTGTCGTGAACAACGAATCATCACGAGTCTTCGTGAGGATTGATTGGTTTTGATTGGATGTCGCTCAGTAACCAATCGACCCGTACTGAAATAAATTTCCTGCCTCAAGTAATAGTAGTAGCTCATAGTGCAGAGTCATTTAAAGATGCATGAAATTGACTACTTAGTTTCATCGCTGTCGACTCAAAAGCCCAACCACTTCAAACAATACACTTAATGCAAGTGAACGCCGAAACTCTGAAACCCTTGTGAATCTTCAGCTATTGTAACATTTGTCACGTTGATTCGGCATAACCCCTTGTTTTACTATGCTGGTCATGTTGGCGCACGATTCAAAATCCTCAATAGTGGTGAGGACCCTCACTGCTGTACACATTTCCTGTTTATTCTACATAACTGCGGTATAAATTCCCTTTACCTGTTTGTTTTTTGCTCAAGCTGGTGTTATTGACAAATATTTTGCTGAAGTAACTTTTGTAGGGTAATGAATTTTTAGTAGCTAACAAGCATGGTGTTTTTATGGCAGAATCTCTCTCAAACGACAGGATACATCAACCCAGTCGCGGCGTTGGCGCTTCAGCTGCAGCAAGTGCAACAGTTGGCTGCCGCGAATGGACAAGCTGCTGTGGCAGCAGCAGCCGCCGCCAACCCGGCGGCTTTGACGGGTCTGGGTTTGAACCCTGCGACTGGCCTGCCTCTGTTCCCCCCGGGCCCGGGTAGCACCCACTCCCACCACCACCACCCGCACCCTCACGCACACCCCCACCTTCAAGCGCCGGGTCTGGCGGCGATGGGGGCGGCTTCACCGAATGGCGCCGGCGGTGTTAGCCACGCGCAAAGCTCCAACGCAAACAACGCACCTCCAATCACAGTCGCGACCGCCGCAAATGGTGCCAACCAATCAGGCACGACTGCGACTCCGGGCCCACCAATTAGTTTGTGCAACGGTGGTGCGGCTGCGCTCAGTGCTGCATTGGCCGCCAATCAACAAAACAATATGGCGATCGCAGCCGCAGCATTAGTGGCCGGAGCCGGATTAAATGGTGCAGTATTGTTTTTTTTTACACTGATTTAGTTGACAAAAATGATTTGACAATAAAATGGCACCAGATTTTAACACTTACTCAAGTTTCACATATTTGTCTGATGGGACTTAGCAGTGTATCCCAAATCAATTGATTCTACCCTCTCAACCTTGTTTGTCGAAATGCAGTGCCCAAGCGCTAGATGTTTGCTTGCATTAAAGGCAAATTCACGAAATAAGCAACTGAAATCCATCTTACGAGATGACCAGTGCTCCTAGCTCACTGCAGTTATGTCACAGAAGCTTGATCGACTGGATCAATCCGTCACGACGTGGCAATCAAGTGTGTCGTATGTGGAGGGCAAACGCCTCGCAGGATAATTGTAGAATTTTAATCGACAGGCACTGTATTCGCCTTTTTTAGGGCCAGCGCCTGGGATCAATCTGAGCTCCCTGGCTTCCCCCATACCCGCCCTGGCAACCGACCCCCTCTCGCACCTCTACAACCACTACGCTCACTACGGCCTATGTACGTTTTCTTCCCGCATTTACTAGCCTCAAGAGAGTACAGTATTCCAGATATTGGGCGCATTTCGTTCCAACGAGCCCGCTGTGCGCTCTTTCCTTGCTCCAGTTAATTGCCCTCCACTTTGCAATGTTATCGTCTACCTCGAAAGCAGATTATCCATGAAAAATTGTTGGTTGCCGGCTTTTAATCGACGTCGACATCATGCCCTGATGACGACATTTGTCTGCTGAAAAGGTGAAATAATTTACAAGTTGTTCTGCTACAAAACAAACCTGTAGAGGGGATTGTGTCGCGTTGAATCCTTCCAAACAAAAACTTTACCCAACTATGTTATCAGGGGAGGCACCCCATTTGCCAGTTGGAAACGAAAATCACAGGTCGGTAAAGCGGACGGTCTCGCCCTGTCAGCCCTCCTCTCACCCCCTCCTCCCGGTGGGCTCATTTGCATCTCAAGTCCCGGTGGGGTGAGTCACGTGGGGTTGCCTTCGCGCACTCCCCCGCGCAAACCTGCTGCAATTAGTGTCCGCATGGGGTGACGTGATCCACTTCCTGGCGCTCGCGCACGCGCACGTGCACGCACAGCAGCACCACCACCACCAATGGCAGCGTAGACTTTAAAGCGCGCGCGCGCGCACGCACCGGCTTGCAAGGTGGCAATTTGAGCTGAAGAGCGGCAATTTCAGGCATTCGTTCCAACTCCGAGTGATAAATAGGGATGGGAAGGAGTGGGGAGGGGGGTGCGAGAGAGCGGGAATTTTATGGCTCCGAGCATTGGGAGGACTTCCGTTAGAGAAATCCAAGTGCAGACGGTGCCTGTCGAGATAATTAACCTTCTCCTGCTGCAGCTCAATGAGTTGAAAAGCATGGAAAATGCCCAGTGCTACATAAACGTGCTCCTACAACTATCTACGTCGCTTTTAATTTAACCACAAATTTTGTTGCATAACACGAGCCTTCAACCGATATTGTTTCAGCTAAAAATTCGGAACGTTTGTTGTCTATGGATGAAAAAAGTGCGTTATTTACTATTGTAAAAGATTCAAGTGCTCGGCTACCCCTCAAAACCCAACTCCTAGCTATGAAAATCATGAAACCGTTCGTTCAAAAGAGTGAAAATGATGGTGTTGTGGGCCCCAGCATGTGGTCCTGAACCACGCCGGGGCCACGGAATTAACCCTGGCCCGATTACGCCTCCCTGATACCCGCGATGAAGAAAGAGACCGGAGAGGACCTGGACACAACCGTCTACTTCAGAACTCAACCACGTTGGTGTCGTTGTGTCGTGTGTGGGGTTTGCGCGTGTGTATTTATACCTCGGATGTGTGAGTCATACATGCGCTAACATCAAGACATATGTGTGAGGATAATCCAAGATAAATATCCGTGTGGATGAGGGGGGAGTTGAGGATCCGCGGGGCTGGCGATATGCTGCGAAAAGGGGAACCCTGTGTCGGAGGTGGATCGATCGGATTAAGGGGTGTGAATAAACACGATTCACGACAATGGCATCATGGAATAATTCTTAAAATTTACGAAAACACTCAGTAAATGCTTGAACTCAACTCCAGATGTGCTTAGTTTACGAGTAGTTAAAGAAAACAGTGAGGGGTGAGGTGCCGCTTACGAAATTCGGTGTAAGATTAAGTATTAAGAAGTATTAATCGTGCATTTATTGATGTTTTTCAAATGTAAAATAACCCAGCTCTGTAGGGACGAATTTATCCTCTTAAAAGTGACGTGCATGGTAAGAGAACTGACCCATTAATCATCGCTTTTTTCTTCTAATTGCAGCTCCTTATGGCCAAGGGGCGCCTGCTCCATTGCCTCAAATAGCCTCATTGGCACAACAGGCCCTAAATTTACCAGTTCAGCAAAAGGAAGGTTCCCGGGATCTAATCCTTACGGGTATGTCGATTCGCTGTTTGCACCTTCACGCTACATGTCTCTACTCTGATTTGCCCACATCACGCGAATGCATGACCAATCAATTCTCATCTTTGCCTTTTGGCAGGCCGCCAAGTTAGCGGAAATATCGATCGCCATGGCATCTTACACTGGTAAACTCTTTATGGGTTTGAATATTGTCTTAATCGCAGTGTTGTGCGAAAAAAAAAACCAACGATTTCTCCGTTGCCCCTTCTCTCTTCATTCCTTTGTGGCGTCTTGTCTTTGTTTGTTAACACTGGGCAACTACTGCGGAGTTTGGGCGTAAACAATAAGTGGCGTGTATTGTTGTCGATACGTTCAAATAACGCTGTTCCTGTTTTCTGTTGTTATGTCTATAGGTTGGAATTTACTTGTACTGTTGTTATGCATAATTTGTTTTCAGAATGGAGCCTTTTGAAAAAAGAGTCCTTAGGCAACATAGAATGATGGACTACTGCGGCATATCCGATGGAATTTGGTTACCCTAAGACCGAAATACCTGTGTACAGTAGCATAGAGACAAAACAACTCAAGATGCTTCATTAATTACATTAAAAAGCTCTAAAAATTGGTTCTTCCTGGACCAGATATACAAATTCGAAACCATGGCTCCCAATGTTTGAGAGCCCATTGTTTACATAACACGTCCAAGTGAATAAAACGAACAAAGCCATTTGCATTTGTATGTATAAAGGACATATTTGTTTGATTTTGAAGAGTCATATAGCATCAATGCACAGTTTGCTAAAAAATTAATCTACAGAGACCTTATCTTACCGCATCACGAAGCTAGTAATCTATTTAGGGCATTTTCAAGACAGCTATGCTACAGTAGTGACGAATTACGGAAAAGAACCAAATAAACTACAATTTGTTGATGGAAACAATCGAATTTCACCAGTAATGGTAGATGTTCGCATTTGCACCGTCCAGAAAACACCCTTCATTGCTTTAACTGCCTGCCATGGCATTTCCGTGACCCGAAATGATGACGTGTGTAAAACCTTAAATACGTCGAACAGCAAACTGTTTGTTTAAATACGCGAACTTTCAAGGTCATTATGATTCACATTGTGTTTATTTTGCATCCACTCTTACTCAAACACACACGTGTAGGTCCGGAGGGCTGCAACCTGTTCATATATCATCTGCCGCAGGAGTTTGGCGACCCCGAGCTGGCTCAAATGTTTATGCCCTTTGGCACGGTCATTAGTGCCAAAGTCTACGTCGATAGAGCCACGAGCCAAAGCAAGTGCTTCGGTAGGTCTTGTGGAAGTAATCATTGGGCATATCATGCCATCTTCACACTGTTTTAGTTTGCCAATGTACTAAGGCACCTGTTTGAATTTGCGCGTAACGCAGTTCCGAATGAGGGACTAATCGATATTCAGTTTTCCCAGGCTAATCACACGATTTGAATCGATGAAAAATGACCTTGTCTCAATGCTCGCTCACTCAGTTGAAATTATTGTTTTAAATTCGCCAGAGTGGCGGTGTTTTAAACCGATTGGTTAGCCTGGTAGAATGGTTGGTATTGTGAATTAATAATAAATGTACAGAATTTTTAAGGGCTGTTTAACTGTTGCGCAGTTGCTACAAAGGCTTCTGCTTCCTGGGTTTGGTTAGATAACTAATGACTGCATTTTCGTAACTTTTTTTTGGATTAGGCTTTGTGAGTTTTGATAATCCCGCAAACGCATTAGCCGCAATTCAAGCCATGAATGGATTCCAAATAGGCATGAAGCGACTCAAGGTGCAGCTTAAGCGTCCCAAAAACGACTCTTCAAAGCCGTACTAATTCCTCTGCGTACGCCTACCCCTCCGCCTCCTCCTCCTTCTACGTTTTACGAAACAATTTATCCTAATTTATGCTTGCTGTCCTTCCTCTACAAGATCTTTCCGCTGCCTCCGCACATAACCATCCGATATTCACTCAGCTATGTGATATGAACACATCTACACAATTCAACAAGGAAAAAACTTGTGTATTCCACACATATTTGTTATAACAACTGCTTTATCTTACTGGTTTGTATACAATGAAACAAGCAAACCACCAATCTACGTCCCAAACTAACTCTGTGATCCCCTGTACTTAAATATTCTCTACTGTCTTTATCTTGCACACGCGTGCGCGAACGAGCACACTGCAAAGGGTGTACAGCATTTTATGTTTAGTAAAAAAAGAAACTCTAGTGAAGTGCGCATAATCATCGGCATTTGCATTTTAAATAGAACCATGCAAATTTATACGGAAATCACAAGTCCTCAATTCGAGGGGATGACGACGACGACTTTCATGTGTTTTTTTTCCTATCTACTTCATTCACTTAATCTTTCCTTTCGTATACAATGTGTATTTACTGATAACGAGTGAACTATATACACAAATAAAATTACTGACTTGTAGGAATGTGACTGCTTTTTCCCCGGCAAATGTGGCGCTACATCGCTATAGGCGAACGTAAAATCGTGGTTGTTGTACATGCTGACATGTACACGCCCACCACTGTCAATCTGTTCTTTGATTACACTGGACTAAAGTACTTCGAGAAGAAAAACGTGGCTTCATGAGACCAAAGGATGGGGAATCGCGAGTACGGAACACACTTTGGCAGTAGTGGAGGCATCCATTACTTGAGCTGACTTCCTTAGGACATGGTTGCCTTGAACATGGAACCCACTATCCTTGACGGACCGTAAAGTACTCACTTCAGCAGACTGCAACTGTCTAATCCCGAATGCGTTTCCTCAAACACGCTACCACGAGGATGAGTATAACAGACACAGACGACGAGGACTAGTCGGTTACCGGCTAGATAATGTTGTAGTGGCTTGTGGTCTAAGCACTACCTTACAACCCTCTAGCTAACAGGCCGTAGCAACCCGAGAATGGAGAGAGGAGAGGCGACAGGTGAACACGACCGTTTATTAGCGTCACGCCCGCCAAGTCTGTCTTAGTGTGTGGATGAGTGAACGGATGACAGGCATGTGATACAGTAACCAATGAAAGGGGGATGAGTCATTGTCACCGTCAGGTCGGTGACCCGGGTTCACTCAGGCGCGATCGCTTTTAATCCGCCACAATGCCATGTGTAGAACAGTTGCGTCAGATGGGCACGCGTTGCAAAAGGGAATAAGAACTTAAGAGCCCAGCAATGCATGGATTCGGTCCGTTGAGGCAACAAGTGCACCTTCGGGGGTACAAGCACTCCCTGCAACTACGCCATTTCGCCAACTCCCAATCCCCTACAACTATTGCACTTTGCTTTGATAAAGTACCTCTCAATGAAATAACCTGTAGCGGGCCGCGGTGCGGTTTCGGAAACCACACCAGGGCCGGCGATTTACACTGACAAGTCCCCGACCGAAAGAGGAGTGGAACTGCAGATGGCGCGTAGCTCAACCGATTTATCAAGGCAACAGCAGTGTGGTGTACAGGATAACGAGCGCGTTTACATTGGCTTCGCTAAGCATCGATCTCTGAACGCGCGTGAAGTGCATTCACGAAAATCGATTGAATCGTGTCCGCTCACGCCTGCTGCCCGCCACAAGCGAAACAATATTCCAAGCTACGTAGATTTAATGAAAAAATAAAACCTAATCCTTGCATCTCAAAACAAAATGCAAGTCATTATCTTATAACAGAAGGAGTGAAAGTGAAGGTGGCGCGTCGCCCAACTAACTTATTGATGCGGCAGCGATGTGTGAGTTACAGGACAGCAGGTGCGTTTATATAGCTCTGCCAAGCATCGATCTCTGAACGCGCGTGGTTGCGTGAAGTTCATTCACGAAAATCGATTGAATCATGTTCGCTCGCGGCTGCTGACTGTGATCGCTTGCTGCTCGCCACAAACCTCAAGTGAGGTTGAGGTGATCCTCAGTGGCAAAATGCGACCCGTTGCGACAGCTTATTATTGTCTTTGATGGCTTAAACACAACGTTTTTCACCGAGATAATTTTACACACGTGATCGAAATTGGCCGACCCCACAATGCTGAAAGATTCGAGTTACGGATACGCTGTGTCCCATCGGCCACTGCGTGTCGTTGGGAAATTCTCGTCACCTGAAAGTGTGCGAACACCTCTGCGTGGACACCCCAGACGACACTAACACTTGAGCCCAGGGCTCACCTCTACCTCCCACTAGCAACTCGACGTTGAGTTATCGCGCCTAGAGCACGAGGTGGCTAGTCACACGAACTGCAGGTGGCTCACGAAAGGAGGCGTTTTCTTCCGAAGGAAATGCGACAGAAGAGAATACAGAATGGAAGATGATAGCAATAGAACATTGAGCCACAATCTTGGCTGTTCTTTTTTTTCTATTTTTTGCATTTTGTGATATCACACATGCACCCGCCCCTGATCTGGCGAGAGAGAGGTGCAAGCACAAAATTTTGCGGGAGAAAGGGAGGGAGGGAGGGGAAATTAGTCAAAATAAATACGTAGTTTCGTGTGTACAGAGCTAAGTGTGTGTGGTTGTGTGCGTGGAAGGCGCATCAGTCGACGCCTTCGAAGCCTTCGGCGTTCTCAATGGCGATGATGAGCTTGCAGCGCAGGTCCTCAAAGGTTTTGTAGGGCGGCAAATCCAGCCGGTTGAAGCTACAAAAAATAAACACACAAAATTAAGTGATTCGTTAAGTGTACAGTCTGCCTCGGATCACAAAATGCAAAACTCACTCCAATTTCAAAACCTACCGTGCTTTGGAAAGCATTGACGTGCGAATTGAAAGAAAAGAAAACCAACCACGAATTTGACGAACTCTTTTAACGGGTGTGGGTTGGTTGAAGACTTGCCAAGTTACTCAAGAGGATAGTAGTTTGGCCAACCGGCATGCACATTACGATAAAGGACCTAGCGGTGACCTTGAGCCAACCAATTAGGGCTCAGGGGATGGAGGAAAGTCAATGGCTTCCGCGAGCGTCCATCAAATCTGCTTCGCGTGGTGCGTCAATGTTGCCAGCGCGTTGGTTAAGCGCTTTCAGTCACTAGAGCCTCACGTGATACCATAAAAATAAAACCAAATCCACCGCTCGAAATCACATCTGTGCATTTTGGAGCGATCGCGCCCGAAAACGAAGACGCGGACAGTTTAAATAGAAACGAAGGCCTTTTTCCACGAATTGAAGGCACCTGACCAACAGTCGACCAATTCGACGCCGCCGCCGCCGCCCCCTCCCCCACAAATCCGAGAGTTGATCCGAAGAGCGCACCCAAATTTGGGACGAGCTCAGCCGGAATCGAACCGTCGATCTTGGAGTCCACTGGTTTGTTTGTCAAAGGCAATGCTGGAGGTGAACAAACGAGCAGCGAGAAAAAACAGGGGTGTGTCAGGGAGAAGAAGCGAACAACTCACCAGGTGTGCGCACGAGGCAGCTGGTCCACGGTGCCCCAGCTCTCGATGGTGAACTTCTGCGGACCCGCCGATCCCCAGAGCTCCACGAAGCCATTCATGGGCACACGCGACGTGCCCGTCACAAACTGCAGCAGACGACTTCGCAACTCGTTGGTGAACGTGTACAGCGTCTGAAATGGGTCACAATACAGACCAGAGCCATTTTTGGCGCAGATAAGATCGCAACAGGCAAAACCCGGTAATTTGGCAAATGAGAGGAAGAACTTAGGGGGAAGGCAAGTGCTGGATCACCACGTTCAAATCGTAAGACCACTACACAGCTTCAACCATTCCAATGCGTGAAAAATAACAGAGAAGAGTTGTGAGACACGACACGAGACACCAAACGGCACCCCTCCCAAAAGAAGCCTAACTGGCCAGACACGCACTCAGTTCTAGCTTCGAGAAGACAGAGAAGTGGAATTCGGCTTAAACACGTGGTTTCCGACATACCTAGCCTGGACAGCTATCCCATAAGACCTTGACTACGTCGAGGCCCAAGGCGTCAGAAAACGGGGTTCGGGGTTAGAGAGGTGGCACGAGGAGGTGGACAGACCTGTTTGTGTGTGTGTGAAGGAATTAGTAGGGAAGATTGTGTGGATGGTGTGAAGAAAGTCATAGGAAGGCTTCTTATTATAACAGGCTCTCCTGGTTCCTTGGGCCACGATTTCCAACCTCAGGGCTGGATTGTTGGACACTGTACGCTGTGTGAAGGTGATCTAACGTACGACAGTTTCAAGGTGGCTTAAATTCAAAAAAAAAGCAAAAGAAAACGTACTCTCCAAAAGTTGACGATCACAGGGTGGTTGACATGGTACTCCCCTTTGTACAGGGTGTTGGCCTTCCAGTCGTGGACGTTGATGTCCTGCAGACCGCACATGAGGAGTTCCAGTTCGTTGGCGTCGAAGAGCTGCAGCGTCTCCAAGGGGATTAAGTCGTTGAAGCCTTCGAGGAAGGCGCACATCTGGTGCTCCACACGGGACACGAAGCGCCAATTGATTATCCGCCTGTAAGACGTTCAACAGGTCTTACACGTGCTTGCCGTGTGTTTCTACTAGAGCCAGGGTCAATGCTAGCACTCACTCGATGTACTCGCGTTTGTTGGCGTTGGTGACGGCGATCGAGCGTCCGCCGGGCACCAACTCGACCTCCACAGTCTCACCGAAGTGCTCCTCGTCAACGGAGAAAGTGAGATCGAGGTCGCGAGGGTCGGCCTCCAGGATGTACTTCAGACTGCGGTAGTACTCCGAGTCGACGGCCTCCATGTCCTTGAGGTTGATCTTCCGCCCCAGCATCATCTTGTAGAAGGGCCGGATAAAGAACCCGTCCACCAGCTTCCCGTGGTACACCGCCATGCCGCACACACGCCCGATGAACTTGAAGTAGCGCAGGTGGTTCTCGTTCGCGAGGCCCGAGAGAGGATTGATTTGGAGGGTGTAATTATCCCTGAGAAACAAATAAAGACATCAAAACGACGCACAGTCGTTGTTGAAATGGCAAGCGTGTACATACACACCCATCCACCCTTGTTGACATTACGACAGGGCGATAGGAGGGTAGGGACTCGTGTTGATTCATGTCCAGTAGCCCAGTCGTCGTAGCTTCCAACACACGTCCCCCATCTTTTCACGACGTGCCCGTCGGTCACGAGAGGCCGCTGGTTCATTAACAACTCTGCATGTCCCACCACCACCACCCACTTTAGTCATGTGACCACGCAGACACCTGTGTTTATTTTTGTACATGTCCACTCAACCGTAACTGTACGTCACACAACTTGGTTGAGGTGTCTAGTAAACGGTCGTGCCTGCCATCTCTGGACGTATTGTCCTTCCGAGTTACTTCTCGTGGTAAAAGGCCTTTAACAGGAGTAAAGATTGCATTTATGGAAGAGGGGCAGCCTTTGTTTATTAAAGACATACCAACCGAAGTAAAGACGGGCGGTTGTGCAAGTGAAGGACGTTTGTGGTGAAACCAACAAGATGGGACCAGTTTGCGAGGGGGCACAAAGCTGCACATGTGCCAGATTCCCAAACGGATGTAACAACCAACCAGCCAATAGGAAAACAGAGCTTTCGGGGGCATTAAAAAGGTGACTGGTGTGACGTACGCTGCGGAGTACTCGAAGAGGCCGTAGTAGGGATTGAACATTTCCCTGGAGAGAAGGAAGAACCACTCGCGCTGAACACCACCGTAGTCCAGACCCTTCTCGCCGAGGAATTCTATCCAGAGCCTACAACACACCATTGGTCATTTGCCTTTTTTAAAGCAGAAACTCGTCTGATTAGGCAGTCCAAAGTTTTATACAGAGTCATGGATATCGCACACGGGCATGATTTACTTGACATGCAAACCTGGTGCAGGCAGACATAGACCGCGTGGGGGGCGAAGCCGCCACAGTCCCCCAAACGCCCCCTCTCTTTGTGGGTGCCGTTGTGTCTGCCTCCAGGTGGATTGCCCGATAAACTCAAGTCACCATCTTCCCGATTACAACGCCTCACTCCCCGGTGTGTCCGGCATTTTTTGGTGAGTTCTCACCGAACTCTTGCGTCGAAGCATATCCTTCATAGTGCGCACTATATCGCTCAAACATATGAATAGAATTCGGGGAACTAAACCAGCTTTTGATTATACTCATAGCCAAGTCTATCATTATTTCGGTCGATTAAGATGCCGTGTGTGTCCAGTACATGGTGATTCTGGGCACTTCCTTATGCAGGCTTTTTCTAAAACCATGAGAATGTCGCTTTGTACTGTCGTGAATCGTGTTTATTCACACCCCTTAATCCGGTCGCTCCACCTCCGACACAGGGTTCCCCTTTTCGCAGCATGTCGCCAGCCCCGCGGATCCTCAACTCCCCCCTCATTCACACAGCTATCTATCTTGGATTATCCACACGCCTAGGTCTCGATGTTAGCGCGTGTATAACTCACACATCCGAGGTAATAAATACACACGCGCAAACCCCACACACGACACAACGACATCAGCTTTGGTTGAGCTCTGAAGTAAACGATTGTGTCCACATCCTCTCCGGTCTTTTTCTTCATCGCGGGTATCAGGGAGGCGTAATCGAGCCGGGGTTAACTCCGTGGCCCCGGCGTGGTTCAGGACCACATACTGGGGCCCACAACAGTAGGAACATAGGAACACACCTGTGCATGAGGATTTCGGGTTTTTTGACGGAGTAGATGAGGCGGAAGGAGTCCTCGAAGATGCCGGGCCGCGTCACGCGCACCTCGAACTTGGCCTGGAGGTCGCGGGGGGCGCGCAGCCGCGACCGGAAGTACTCGTACTTCTGGCGGTAGTTGCGCGAGTAGGGCACCGCGGGGCCGCCGAGGCGTTCCAGCCGAGGGTCCTCCCACTGCGTCGTGCGCGCGT